TCATGCCTGTTGTAAATCCTGTATGCTTGTGGCTGGTAGGGTAGCCTAGTGGTTAAAATGTTCACTTGTCACGTCGAAGACCTGTGTTTGATTCCCCATATGGGTACAATGTGTGAAGCCCATATCTGGTGTCCCCTGCCTTGATATTGTTGGAATATTGATAAAAGTGGCGTAAAATCCAACTCACTCCTGTATGCTTGCATATCATTTGTCAGAGCCACTTGTTATGAAATAGGGTAAAATGGTGTTGACCAATTGACCAAGTGTGTGATAGAGTTGGATATTTTGTGACAACTATAGGTACCATTGTACCCATGTGGAGAATCGAACCTGGGTCTTTGGCATGACGAGAGAATGCTTAACTACTAGGCTACCTCGCTGCCCCTAACAGGTTCACCCAATTCAATGATTTCCCAGATCGTGGCTCTTGGTTTGTCAGGTGAAAAGCGGTCACTCTACCTACTAGACTCCCCCACTGCCCTTAATAGTTAGAATATTATGGAAAGTCTGACAGAATAGCTGAGATTGCTACAATGTTTTTACATTAAGATTAAGCTTTTATTCACATGTTCAGATATGATTTCTCTAAATCCCCAAGGAGCACAATCAGATCCCATAAATACAATTACAAAACCGTTGTCCAACGACAGAGAAGGCCAAAAGAAATGCAAGATGAAATGAAAATGGGTGATTTGTGAGTGATTTGTGAGCTATACACAGAGACAAGTACAATCCCTTTGGCACCCTTTTTCCTATTGTGCTTATCCCTGTTGGTCAAGCAAAGGAATAAAAAACATAACGGATCTCCGACCCAATAGCCAGGGGAGTTATTAAACATCATGGATTAGCTTCTAAAGTTCTCTGGGGCAGAAGAGTGGAAAAAGTTTTCAGAAACCAAATGAAAGTATTGACTGTCTTCCTACATGATATTTGTAGTCCCCCCGGAATCCAATCTTGCAATGCTTGCGTAATAAAGTGGACCTTATCCCAGCTTAGCATCGCCGCGATTTCTTGTCAAATTCGTCAAGCAGCTTACCATGTTTGTTTTATCAATAGCTAGTTTTAATCGTTAGGACATTTTTTCGTCTGTGGAAATGGGAAGGTAATGACTGGATTGCCAGATAAATATTTGATTTCAATTTTACTCCGCTTGCAGTAAATGCGTAATTTTCTGTGTCACTGATGTGGATATTTACCAAGTTTAGCCGTCATTTCCTCACAGCTGGACATGATAATGCTCTGATTGACGACTTCATACGTTATTACGATGCTAACGCTGTAATTTTATTTCCACACGTCTTCGAGTGCTTGTTCACGGATGTTTTCTCAATGGGCATAGATTTCTTGCAAGTCTTTCAATATTTTTCTTGATGGTCTCTTACGACATCATTGTGACAACACTAATGAATTGTCAGTTTAAGTTTCGCAGCTCCTGGGCTGCCGATGTTGTTGGTTTAGCTTGCATTAACTCTGTGTACAGGGTAACTATACTTGACTGACCTCTTCAGATGTTTCCAGACAATAAATATTTTCTAACATTCCTCCTTATTCCACGGTGTTTATGAGACTTTCTCTGTAAGGAAGTTTAATATTTTTTGTATTCTTTTGATATTGGAAGTTCTCCTGACTAGTGATGGTATAGTATAAATCATGTTTTGTGCTGAATGTATTTGTTTATTTACAAAGTCAAAAGAACTGGATTAAAGGGAATCACATTTAGGGGCCTCTTCTCATGTATAGGTATATATGTGATTATAAGGGAATATAGTCATGTTCATCATAACAAGAAATCATGGGTGTGCCAGACATTTGTTTCCATGACTCAAGAATCCTGAAAGAATACATTTTTCCTGTATTTCTAATTAGTATTTTCATTATTGTTTAATGTTTGTATTTTATCTTAAATATGGCAATGGCTCACTGCATTAAGTCCCTGCAAGTCTGTTTCATTCAGAAACCTTTTCTTCTGCAAAGCGTACTGTAAGTATCTTCATACCTGGCATGTTGCTACAATATGTTTGACATGACCACTTGTCTGCCAGTCCGAGACAAGTGAAAATATGTATGGACAAGTATCTCCCAGTATCTAGTTGTCCTACAGAAACCACAAGTCTGAAATGAGCTGTTGACAAGGTGGATATGCTTCTGAACCAGCTGATGTCAGACTTGAACTACCAGCAGTATCAGGGAAACAGCTCCTTCATGTATTGTCAAGTGTTACACCTCGACCTACCTATATACCTTATTATTACGCTTTTGATGGGTAGTATAGTTATTGTACAGAAACCACAAGTTTCACAAGGATATGCTTCTGAACCAGCTGATGTCAGACTTGAACTACCAGAGCAGTATCAGGGAAACAGCTCACACATGTAGAATTATTTGCACAAAATATTTTTATAGAAATACCTTTAGATAACTGATCAGCTTATGATAAAAAACAAATAAGTACATGAAATGGGTACATTAGTACCTAGTGTTATTTACAAAGACAGATCTTGTATCCGTGGCGACATGGGTAATTTATCGACTAGTTCAGTGACGTGGTGCACCAGGGCACCGGTGATAGGTTTCGGTCAGGAAATGTCTGTAAGGTTTATCACTTCCTTCTTGAATTTATTTTAAGAATTTGTTTTCAGAGCATCAATTAGGAGCAGTATGTTACCTGTAAACTTGATTAACGCGCAATTTAATTGGTTACATGAGGCATCAGCGCAAGGTTTAAAATTCTGATTTACGCTGAAAACATCATGGATTCTTTGATCATGAGTTTTGTCCATTCAAGTGCAGTCTAACCTTGTGATAGACGTTTCTAGAAATAGGTTTGCCATTGTTAGGGTTGAAGAAATGAGGCTTGATTGAGAAGTTCCAGGCCTCGGTTGAAGGAATAGCATAACAGTGAAATATTTTGTTTTGGATCTTAGATGATGTGACAGTGATATGTCCACCAAACTTTCAGTCAGTTTGGCACTTTGTTTCTGTGTGACAAATCAGTAAAATAAGCAGTGATAGAAGCAGGAAGTGATATCAAAGTTTAAAAATGTCGAACAGTTGGAACTAGAAATCATCGTAGACTTACAGGAACGCACTGAGAGGGCGATCAAATCATTTCACAAATAGCTTGAATTTACACTTGTGAAACATAATTCAGTGTTAATTCATTTAATCATTTGTGTTGAATCAGTGTCCTGTGCTGACTACAGAAAGTTAAATATGTACCGGTATGTTGTTTAACACTGCACTCAGCAATATTCCAGGAATATAAGAACAGCTCATAAATAATTGAGTCTGAGCTTCAATCTACGCAGCTGGGATACGATGATATGCATCAACCTGTTAAGCAAGCCTTTGTTTAACACCCAGCCCTAGTCCAGGTACATGACAACAACCTGTAAATTATTGAGTCTGGACCAGACAAACCAGTGATTGACATCATGAGCATCTCTCTACACAGTAGCAACACGATGATACGCATCAACCTGTTAAGCAAGCCTTTGTTTAACACCCAGCCCTAGTCCAGGTACATGACAACAACCTGTAAATTATTGAGTCTGGACCAGACAAACCAGTGATTGACATCATGAGCATCTCTCTACACAGTAGCAACACGATGATACGCATCAACCTGTTAAGCAAGCTTTTGTTTAACACCCAGCCCTAGTCCAGGTATATGACGACAACCTATAATTTATTGAGTCTGGACCAGACAAACCAGTGATTGACATCATGAGCATCTCTCTACACAGTAGCAACACGATGATATGAATCAACCAGTTGAGCAAGCCTTTGTTTAACAGTACACCCAGCCCTAGTCCAGGTATATGACGACAACCTGTAAATTATTGAGTCTGGACCAGACAAACCAGTGATTGACATCATGAGCATCTATCTACACAGTAGCGACACGATGATATGCATCAACCTGTTAAGCAAGCCTTTGTTTAACAGTACACCCAGCCCTAGTCCAGGTATATGACGACAACCTGTAAATTATTGAGTCTGGACCAGACAAACCAGTGATTGACATCATGAGCATCTATCTACACAGTAGCGACAACGATGATATGCATCAACCTGTTAAGCAAGCCTTTGTTTAACAGTACACCCAGCCCTAGTCCAGGTATATGACGACAACCCGTAAATTATTGAGTCTGGACCAGACAAACCAGTGATTGACATCATGAGCATCTCTCTACACAGTAGCAACACGCTGATATGCATCAACCTGTTAAGCAAGCCTTTGTTTAACACCCGGCCCTAGTCCAGGTATATGACGACAACCTGTAAATTATTGAGTCTGGACCAGACAAACCAGTGATTGACATCATGAGCATCTATCTACACAGTAGCGACACGATGATATGCATCAACCTGTTAAGCAAGCCTTTGTTTAACAGTACACCCAGCCCTAGTCCAGGTATATGACGACAACCCGTAAATTATTGAGTCTGGACCAGACAAACCAGTGATTGACATCATGAGCATCTCTCTACACAGTAGCAACACGCTGATATGCATCAACCTGTTAAGCAAGCCTTTGTTTAACACCCGGCCCTAGTCCAGGTATATGATGACAACCTGTAAATTATTGAGTCTGGACCAGACAAACCAGTGATGACATCATGAGCATCTCTCTACACAGTAGCAACACGATGATATGAATCAACCAGTTAAGCAAGCCTTTGTTTAACAGTACACCCAGCCCTAGTCCAGGTATATGACGACAACCTGTAATTTATTGAGTCTTGACCAGACAAACCAGTGATTGTACAAGGATCCCTGCTGTTGGGGTGTGATGATGAACTGTCAACCAAGTCACCGACCACCTGGTCCATTAAGCCTCCTGACCAGCATAGACAGCGGTGATCTATTCTAACATTAAACACAACAGGGGGGAATGACATAAGATGTGTCACATGTTATTCTTGGTTTGCCAGACATTTCCTGTGACTAAATGATATAATCTAACAGTTGATGTCAATATATTTTGTTTTTTTCAGGTGTCATCAATCTTGGCCAGTGAAGTTCTAATCAGTCAGTCTGGAAAATTTCTCTACAACAAGTTGGTATCACTTGTACAGAGACACTACAACCTTGGGTCTACCACTGTGACTGGCATCCCAATGAAGGTGAGTCTTCACATAACCTTTCTCTATAGTTAGATCTGGGGGGCGGTGGGGTTAAGGCGTTCGCTCGTCACGCTGAAGACCCGGGTTCGATTCCACACATGGGTACAATGTGTGAAGCTCATTTCTGGTGAACTCGCCGTGATATTGCTGGAATATTGCTAAAAGCGGCGTAACACTAAACTCACTCACTCACTATGAAGGTGAGTCTTCACATAACCTTTGTCTATACTTGGGTCTGGGGGCGTTGGGGTAGCCTAGTGGTTAAAGTGTTGGCTTGTCACACCGAAGACCTGAGGTTCGATTCACCACGTGGGTACAATTTGTGAAGCCTATTTTTTGTTTCCCTCACTGAGATACTCTGGAATATTGCTAAAAGGGGCGTAAAACTAAACAGATTCACTCACTATAGTTTGGTCTGCACATAAACTTTTCAGACACCTCCTCACACACCCTTTGCCACCTTGCCTGTGTCTTCAATGTCCTCTGCCATTATTAAACTCTAGGCGTCAGTTAACATATTTTCCCTAGCCCAATGAGAGCAATGAAGGTAAGGCTCCCCAAACCCTTGCGTCAAACACCAACAGGCAATGCACGTAAAAAGTCTAACATTGCATCAAATCAAATTACTTGTCACTCTATGAGACAGGCCAGTAAAGAAAGAAATGGGTGTTTTTCCATTTGCTTCAGGAATGATCTTTTAAGGCATGTAAAACCAACTTATCAATAAACTCTGTCCACCCACAATGTACAATGTGTGAAACCCATTTCTGGTGTCTCTTACCTTGATATTACTGGAATATTACTAAAAGCGGTGTTAAACTAAACTCACTCACTCACACAGAGGAGGAAATCTGTACAATAAATAATACATCATTGCTGCTGATACACTGTGCATGTTGATTTAGTCATTAAATGTGTGACTAAACGAATATAGATTACCGACATTGATTGATTCTTTTCCTGTTACTGCTTCTGATAAAACCTCATCATGACTCAATTCCACTGATTCAGGGACCTTTGAGGAGACCCCGTTCATGTTTTGAATTAACATTATATGAAGTCTTTTTGCTGAAAGATTACAACTCTGTCCCATCTTCCTCAGTCCCATCGGTTCCCAATTGCATAGACCGATGCTCATGCTGTTGATCACTGGATTGTCTGGTCCAAACTCCATTATATACACACTCCAGTCTCATAGCTGCAATATTGCTGAGTGCGGCATTAAGCAACAAACAAAACTTTCTTCTCGGGGAGCAAATTTCTAAGATTTATTTGATTAATATTTGGGAGATAAACCTGGTGTGATTTCAGTTGAGACGATTTAAATGTAAATTTGTCATACTTGTACATTCAATGTTAAACCTGTGTTTGTTCATATTGAAACCAAATGCCAAACTGTGATATTTATTCCACATGTGAGTGCAGTAATCTTGAGCTCAACAGTAAATCCCAAGTTTGCCTCGCCTCGCCTCGCCTCACCTCACCTCACCTCACCTCACCTCATCTCGCATTACCTTACCTTACCTTACCTCGCCTCACTTCACCTCGCCACGCCTCGCCTCGCCTCACCGTACCGTACCTCACCTCACCTCGTCTCGCCTTACCTCACCTCACCTGTATATTTTGTGGAATAAACCAACATTCATCTCACATTACCTTACCTTACCTTACCTTACCTTACCTCACCTCACCTCACCTCACCTCACCTCGTCTCGCCTTACCTCGTCTCGCCTCAACTCAACTCAACTCAACTCAACTCAACTTACCTCACCTCACCTCGTCTCACATTACCTTACCTTACCTCACCTCACCTCACCTTGTCTCACCTGACCTCGCCACGCCTCGCCTCACCTTACCTCACCTCGTCTCGCCTTACCTCGTCTCGCCTCAACTCAACTCAACTCAACTCAACTCAACTCAACTCCTCAACTCGTCTCACATTACCTTACCTTACCTCACCTCACCTCACCTTGTCTCACCTGACCTTGCCACGCCTCGCCTTGCCTCGCCTCACCTTACCTCACCTCACCTCACCTCACCTCGCCTTACCTCGCCTTACCTCACCTCACCTCTATATTTTGTGGAATAAACCAACTTGTTCTAAAGAAACATTTAAATCCAGACAATATGATGTATTTGGGGAATATGATTACTGTGAATACTAATTTGTTGATTGTTCACCAAGTTTCACTGCACATTGTAACAAACTTACACTATGTTTGAAGGGCTCTCTCAGTTTTCCATTTTATCTGCCACCAGATAAATAATACATGGGCTACAGTCCAACAAGCCCGTGGGTGTGGGTCAAGGACACCCTGTTTCCCAGTTGCCTCCCTTTAAAGTGTTCTTATGATGAATTATTCATTTGAAATCATTTTGAGAAGTGATGAGAACATCTCATCGCACTAACATCGTGAGAACTGACGATGGTGTTTTTCCATACTGAATAACCTGACTCAATGAATGCTTTGGACTCAGCTTTATTGTTCATGAGGGGAAATATTCAATAAATGTTTTATAAAAAGGGAATAATCCTGTTGAATCTTTTCTGTTGGAATGCTATGAAAAGTTTGCGTAATTTTAAGGAATATGAAATCCTTTCCATTGAAGGAGACAGCTAAATTTTGCTTCTGTTGAATGCTTGGAATTCAAAAGTGTTGAGAATTCCTTCCAAAGAAATTCTTGCCGTTGAGGCGTGATATATTGCAATTATATCCCATGTGGTCTCTGTCATCTCCATCGGCAACAGGAGCATATGGATGAACGGATGACCAGCAATCTGACCCTGTCAGTGGTCATTAGTGTGTCATTAATTAAGGTCGTGCTCTGTTTATGAACCATTGATTCAATGTTCTACAACCACCCACAAGTCTCTCAGAACTCAACAGCAAATCGACAAACAGTAATTAACATAGATTGCTGTGTCTGAAACTGCTGATGCCAGCATGTGGGAACTGTCACTACAAGTAGAGCCTAGTGGGTAGTGTTTGCTTGTAGGGCTACATATTTGAGTTTAGTTCCTCACATCCCCATGTATATCTAAGTGTCACTACAAGTAGAGCCTAGTGGGTAAAGTGTTTGCGTGTAGGGCTACATATTTGAGTTTAGTTGCTCACATCCCCAGTATATCTAAGTGTCACTACAAGTAGAGCCTAGTTGGTAAAGCATTTGCTTGTAGGGCTACATATTTGAGTTTAGTTCCTCACATCTATATCTAAGTGTCACTACAAGTAGAGCCTAGTGGGTAAAGTGTTTGCTTGTAGAGCTACATATTTGAGTTTAGTTCCTCACATCCCCATGTATATCTAAGTGTCACTACAAATAGAGCCTAGTGAGTAAAGTGTTTGCTTGTAGAGCTACATATTTGAGTTTAGTTCCTCACATCTCCATGTATATCTAAGTGTCACTACAAGTAGAGCCTAGTGGGTAAAGTGTTTGCTTGTAGGGCTACATATTTGAGTTTAGTTCCTCACATCCCCATGTATATCTGAGTGTCACTACAAGTAGAGCCTAGTGGGTAAAGTGTTTGCTTGTACAGCTGCATATTTGAGTTTAGTTCCTCACATCCCATGTATATCTAAGTGTCATTACAAGTAGAGCCTAGTGGGTAAAGTGTTTGCTTGTACAGCTACATATTTGAGTTTAGTTCCTCACATCCCCATGTATATCTAAGTGTCACTACAAGTAGAGCCTAGTTGGTAAAGTGTTTGCTTGTAGAGCTACATATTTGAGTTTAGTTCCTCACATCCACATGTATATCTAAGTGTCACTACAAGTAGAGCCTAGTTGGTAAAGCATTTGCTTGTAGGGCTACATATTTGAGTTTAGTTCCTCACATCTATATCTAAGTGTCACTACAAGTAGAGCCTAGTGGGTAAAGTGTTTGCTTGTAGGGCTACATATTTGAGTTTAGTTCCTCACATCCCCATGTATATCTAAGTGTCACTACAAGTAGAGCCTAGTGGGTAAAGTGTTTGCTTGTAGAGCTACATATTTGAGTTTAGTTGCTCACATCCCATGTATATGTAAGTGTCACTACAATTAGAGCCTAGTGGGTAAAGTGTTTGCTTGTAGGGCTACATATTTGAGTTTAGTTCCTCACATCCCCATGTATATGTAAGTGTCACTACAAGTAGAGCCTAGTGGGTAAAGTGTTTGCTTGTAGAGCTACATATTTGAGTTTAGTTCCTCACATCCCCATCTATATCTAAGTGTCACTACAAGTAGAGCCTAGTGGGTAAAGTGTTTGCTTGTAGAGCTACATATTTGAGTTTAGTTCCTCACATCCCCATGTATATCTAAGTGTCACTACAATTAGAGCCTCGTAGGGAAAGTGTTTGCTTGTAGGGCTACATATTTGAGTTTAGTTCCTCACATCCCCATCTATATCTAAGTGTCACTACAAGTAGAGCCTAGTGGGTAAAGTGTTTGCTTGTAGAGCTACATATTTGAGTTTAGTTCCTCACATCCCCATGTATATCTAAGTGTCATTACAAGTAGAGCCTCGTAGGGAAAGTGTTTGCTTGTAGGGCTACATATTTGAGTTTAGTTCCTCACATCCCCATGTATATCTAAGTGTCACTACAAGTAGAGCCTAGCGGGTAAAGCGTTTGCTTGTAGGGCTACATATTTGAGTTTAGTTCCTCACATCCCCATGTATATCTAAGTGTCACTACAAGTAGAGCCTAGTTGGTAAAGTGTTTGCTTGTAGAGCTACATATTTGAGTTTAGTTCCTCACATCCCCATGTATATCTAAGTGTCACTACAAGTAGAGCCTAGTTGGTAAAGTGTTTGCTTGTAGAGCTACATATTTGAGTTTAGTTCCTCACATCCCCATGTATATCTAAGTGTCACTACAAGTAGAGCCTAGCGGGTAAAGCGTTTGCTTGTACAGCTACATATATGAGTTTAGTTCCTCACATCTCCATGTATATTTAAAGGGGCAACATAGTGATGGTGTGGGTGGAAGTGTGGGCAGTGGTGGTGTGGATGGGTAGTGGTGGTGTAGGTGGAAGTGGCAATAGTGGTGGTGTGGGTGGAAATGGGGGTAGTGGTGGTGTGGGTGGAAGTGGGGGTAGTGATGGTGTTGGTGGAAGTGGCGATAGCGGTGGTGTGGGTGGAAATGGGGGTAGTGGTGGTAGTGATGGTGGGGGTGGAAGTGTTAGAAATTCAATCATTCATGTGATGCACTTGAGATGAGGTGTCTCTGATCTTGTTGTGACAGAGCATGAGTTTTCCAGAGTTGTGTAGAGAAAGTTTGGAAGCTTTAACACTGCCTCAAGGTGTTCATGTGTAATTCATGCCAAGAACATCCGTTGATTATCAAATATTTATGTGTTTGCTCCAGGCAATAATACATCTGTGTCTGTGTGGGATTCTCACATAGACCTGTTGCCCTCTCCTTCTGGACTTTTTTGTATACAGAAATGGGCGGTGGGGTAGCCTAGTGGTTAAAGTGTTGGCTCATCACGCCGAAGACCCGGGTTCGAATCCCGACATGGGTTCAATAAGTGAAGCCCATTTCTGGTGTCCCCCTGCTGTGATGTTGCTGGAATATTGCTAAAAGCGGCGTAAAACCATACTCACTCACTCACTCTGGACTTTTTGTTTACAGAAATGGGCGGTGGGGTAGCCTAGTGGTTAAAGCGTTGGCTCGTCACGCTGCAGACCCGGGTTCGAATCCCCACATGGGTACAATGTGCGAATCCTATTTCTGGTGTCCCCCGCTGTGATGTTGCTGGAATATTGCTAAAAGCGGTGTAAAACCAAACTCTGTCAGTCAGTCAGTCATTTTACAGAAATGTTCTTCTTCCGTTCCATACCTGACATGTTTTATGGCTTGCATGAACATTTATTGGCTAGGTTGGCAATATGAGATCCTCTGTCTACTTTGAAGGGAAAAAAATGGAATTATTGTGAACAAACTTTGAGAAAAATATAGATAGATAATGTTTTACTTTCTGTTCATGTTGAACAAGCAAGAGCCACTTAACTGCAATTTGTAGTTAATTCAAGATATTGTATTTAAGAACTAAAATTGTTTTGTAAACTCTAATAATATATACAACAGCATATAAAATATTGGTTCTAAATTAAAAATTACTTTTTAATCAGCTGGCAATACCTTGATATAACTGAAATATACCTAAGGCTCACTCACATAAAGATCCAATGTTTAATTATGAAATGAGAGATACGTTTCATAATAGCTGTTTTTTGTACCTACTATGGTGAATCTATAGATACTTGAGCGTATGTCCACCTGAAACATTTTCACTTTCCTGTTATCATTGCTCTCAAGATTTAATTGGGTACAATGTGTGAAGCTCATTTCTGGTTTCCCGTGCCGTGATATTGCTGGTATATTGCTAAAAGCGGCATAAAAGCCAACCCACTCACTCACTCACTCGCACACTCATACCACTCCTCTCTTCTCCCACGCTCACTCAACCACTACCTAACTCACTCACCCACTCACTCCAACCCTAAAGCACTCAACCACTCGCTTCATTTATTTATCTTTTAGTGTTCATCCAATTATGGCTATGCTTGGTGACTTGGTTTCATAAAATAGATCCGATGTTTTTTATCTCTGAACTAAACTTACTCACTCACTCACTCACTGAAGATTTAATCTATGTGATTCCAGGTTAACAGTAGTTGATGTAACTATTATATGTATCATACCCTTAACTATGGTATCAGTCATCAACAAACAAATAGGCACACTATTGTCAGTAATGGTTCCCTCTCATCTCCCTGTGAGGGCGGTGGGGTAGCCTAATGGTTAAAGCGTTGGCTCGTCACGCCGAAAACCCGGGTTCGAATCCCCACATGGGTACAATGTGTGAAGCCCATTTTCTGGTGTCCCCCGCCGTGATGTTGCTGGAATATTGCTAAAAGCGGCGTAAAACCAAACTCAGTCAGTCAGTCAGTCATCTCCCTGTGACTGACAGTTCATTTATGTTCCAGGAAGAGCAGAATGCAAGCTCCTCCGCCAACTATGACGTAGAGCTGTTGCACCCAGCATCTGTGCATGAGGAGATCTTCAAGACAGGTGAGTTAACTTCAGATGAACCAGCCAGTTTATTAAACACAAAATTAGCTTGGACATTAAGGTCCTACCAAACATTCTACAGGAATTCTTGCAGACTGGTGAGTTCTGATGAACCAGCCAGTGTATGAAACACAACATTAAGGCTGACATCATGGTCACACCGAATATTCTACAGATCTTACAGACAGGTAAGTTCTGATGAACCAGCCCGTGTATAAAACACAACATTAAGACTGACATCATGGCCACACCAAATATTCTACAGATCTTACAAACAGGTGAGTTCTGATGAACCAGCTCGTGTATAAAAGACAATATTAAGGCTGACATCATGGCCACACCTATGATTACCTGTGATTGACAGTGCCCCAGCTGATGTGGACCTTCCTGCAGTGATTCTGGGGTGGGTATATCAGGTTCCAAGCAGCCCACGGTGTTCATACATAGTCTGTCATACAGAGCCTGAAACAAATGTCCAATACAGCACATGCAAATCTAGAATATGTTACAGGTCTTGATGTTAGCAGTTTCAGTTTCTTATGAAGAAAGTCTCTCGGCTCCTTTATGTTATATTTTATTAAGAAAAGATGTTTCTGTAAAATATGTTTATTTCAGAGACTAGTGCCTGTCTTGAGAAGCTGCTCAATGAATTGAGTGTTCAGACTCTGCTCCTTGCCTAGGATCATTCCTCATCAATGCTATTGACTTGAATGTTGTTCATGCTATCAATGTAGGACATTGTCCATGCTATGGACATAGGGTATTGTCCATGCTTGACATAGGGCATTGTTCATGTTATGGACATAGGGTATTGTCCATGCTTGACATAGGGCATTGTTCATGCTATCAATGTAGGACATTGTTCATGCTATCAATGTAGGACATTGTTCATGCTATGGACATAGGGTATTGTCCATGCTCGACATAGGGCATTGTTCATGCTATCAATGTAGGACATTGTTCATGCTATGGACATAGGGTATTGTCCATGCTATGGACATAGGGTATTGTCCATGCTCGACATAGGGCATTGTTCATGCTATCAATGTAGGACATTGTCCATGCTATGGACATAGGGTATTGTCCATGCTTGACATAGGGTATTGTCCATGCTCGACATAGGGCATTGTTCATGCTATCAATGTAGGACATTGTTCATGCTATGGACATAGGGTATTGTCCATGCTCGACATAGGGTATTGTCCATGCTCGACATAGGGTATTGTCCATGCTCGACATGGGGCATTGTTCATGTTATCGCCATAGTTCATTATTCATGCTGTCATCATAGTTCATTATTCATGCTATCGACAAGGGGCATTGTCCATGCTATCGACATGGGGCATTGTCCATGCTATCGAAATGGGGCATTGTCCATGCTATCGACATGGGACATTGTTCAAGTTATTGTACAAATGTTCCAATATAATTGAATATGATGGGATTTTAAAAAGTATATGGAAGGTCCACTTTGGAAGAGGAATTGGATTTCAGTGGTTAGCATGTTATGGGCAAAAAGCAAAAATTGGGGATCTTCTTATATTCATATATTTAGTTGGATCAAGGGTGACTTTTGTTGCTGTACTATATACTTATACCGTACATTCAACCAGACTTCTGGCTTACTTCCAGTGTATGTTTTTTAAAGAAACATTTTCATCCCTTTAAAAGGGTTTCAGTGTAGTATCATTTATTTCCAGTTCTTGTTTGCGTGTTGGTTTTTCAGCTTGGTGAGTGACATCAGTTGTCCCCAGATACACCACCCATTAGGGTTGTTTCAGTGCTGGAGTCTACATATATAATCTACGATGTCTTAATTCAAATATTTCATGCAGGGTTGAATACACATATAGTTTCATTTTGTTGTTTTTTTGTATAAGAAATAAAGGACAAAATAGTTTTACAAAATTCAATCTAGAGAATGGAGATATTTGTCTAACATAAAGAGTTTAGCTTTAGAAATATATATATTTAATAATTATTGTTTCACAATTTATTGGAGCTGAAGATAAATTTCAGTTTTCTTTCAAAATTGGATGAGCAGTTCTTCTGTCTTCAGTCATTGAATGGAAATCCTGTCCTAATTTGCCTCATTTAAATCTCAGAATAGTGAAATGTTGAGTTTTTTGGGGATGGCTTTTCTTAGCATCCCTTAAGTTAGATACCATGGCATTAACGTCAACATGAATAAGCATTGGTCATAGCTAGCGCACCATGGTATTCTTTTGACAGATAACTCAAAGCATTTTCACAAAGTTATTTATGTCAATTTTGGTATCCAACTAATTGCTTTTTAGATGGATATGCACTTGGAATGGTTGGGTTGTTTTTCTGTAAGCACTATATATAGTCTGGGCATAGTTCTAGGTCTCTACATCTCTACATGTGGATTCAATAGTTTTCAAGTCATGCACTCAGTAGAATGTCTCAAATATTTGATTGAAGATGGAAAGGTTAATTACTTGACATCGAAATGCTTTTTAAAAAAGGTTATTTGAAAAGACATTCTGAGGACAAAGTGGAACGTACGGAATCAACGGCTAAACCAAGGTCATTCTTGAGAAGAGTGGCATGTTTATGGAGTGAGCTGTTTTATGACTGAAACTTCTTGCATAACTTCAGATTAAATCTAATTATTCTTTCATGTGATAAAAGAATTTTCCTTTTAGAATTATCAACTATCATTTTATACGTATAGATTTGTGAGATTTATTATCTGACAGCATCTGATGGTTCATCTTTATCAATGTATTTATAGAAAATGATTACCAATACTTCATGAGTTTCCTTTCCTTACATGTTTGTGGGGTATTAATTCTTTCACATTCTTGTATTTATGTTTCTGCTTTGAAAGATTTGCAGCTATTTCCTTGATTCTTGTCGTCTTGATACATCAATCCATTAAACAATAACTAGCTGGAATATCGTGTTGAAGGAATAATGATGACTGTGACATTTCACAGGATTCGCACTCCAGCATGTCAAAGAAAGATGTTTTAAAGTGTCTGAAAGATATTCTGACATGTACAAATGTCACTTGTGGATTCCAGCTCATCAATTCATTCATGAATAGTTCCTGAAATTACAAACAATATTTCTGTCTCTTGTTTGAAAGACTCCTCTTGATTTGCGATCTTAATAAATCAATCTGTTAAACACTGACAAGCTAGAATATTGTTCCGAACTCTGACATTATGCTTGTAGCGGACAAGAAGGAGCCATCAAAATAAGTGTTTCATCTTTAATGTCAGTTGATGTTTTCCCCAACATTAGAAATGGTCCAAGCACCCATTCCTTGTCATTAGTGTGAGTGAGTGAGTGAGTATGGTTTAATGCAGCTTTTTTTGGCAGGGGACACCAGAAATGAGCTTCACACATTGTACCCATGTGGGGAATCGAACCCAGATCTTAGGTGTGATGAGCAAACACTTTAACCACTAGACTACCCCACCACCCCCTTTGTCATGAGAAGACACTAACATAGGACCAAGCTGTTCAGCTCTGTAGCTTGCCTTGTTTACGTCATCAAGCCACAGTGTTGTGTACAGATTGATAATAATGTTTGGGTTTGTTTGCAGTCCATGGAGACTTTAACATGCTGCTGACATCGAACAGCATCCACACAACCATTAGTTCAAGGTTAACATGTGAAAAAATGGCTGACAGATAATCAGACTTGTCCAAATGTCATGTATGGATTTATGTCTCCCAGTCTCATCAATTGGCTCGTCAATACTTGTTGAAATTACCGAAAAAATGTTTTCTGTGTACTCTGCTCCTTACACCGTTATCAGAGATGGTCTGGAATCAATGGTGGATATCTCCCAGGAAATACTGTCCACTCCTTGTAACACATCACAGAACTCGGGGGAATCACTTCAACCTCCGGTTCAGGTTCGGATCAATCCTGGTCGAAAAAAAAGGTTTTATCATGCATCAGAGATCGTTGCAAGTCCTATGAAATTTGATTTCAATTTAGACAGCTTTGTCACTCGTTGAAAGAAACTTCTGATAATCATAGCAATTGGTGCATTTCTTTGAAGTTTAGATATGGTCTCCAGATGATATGGGTTCCTTTCATTTGCATCAATCAGTCCAGGCAAGAAGCTTCGTGTCTGGACCACACCATGGCACAGAGACTGAGCTGCCAGTTTATTACAATGATAGAAGCTGATAAAGCTGCAGAAAATATTTATTTATTCTCATAAAGTGTTATGGTGGGTAGAAAATGCAGAGATTTGAGTAAACAGGATAACTTGTAATTGTCTTGTTTTCTGTTACTGCCCAAAACAGAGCATACAAAACATCTTGTTTGTGTTTGCCAAGGGAAGATGTACAACCTTCTTAAAGTGGATTTTTCTGCTCTTTGACTATTTCATGAGTCTCCTGAGAGCAGCTTTGCCGTGTGTCTGAGCGAGGGATCAAGAACTTGGTTTTAAAGGCTGGGAAGAGCATGTTGTGTTAAGACAATTTGTGTTCAAGGAGCAGCATGTGGCATTGTGTTAAGACAATTTGTGTTCAAGGTGCTGCTTGTGGCATTGTGTTAAGACAGGTTGTGTTCAAGGAGATGCTTGTGGTGTTGTGTTAAGACAGGTTGTGTTCAAGGAGCTGTTTGTGGTGTTGTGTTAAGACAGGTTGTGTTCAAGGAGATGCTTGTGGTGTTGTGTTAAGACAGGTTGTGTTCAAGGAGCAGCTTGTGGTGTTGTGTTAAGACAGGTTGTGTTCAAGGAGCAGCTTGTGGTGTTGTGTTAAGACAGGTTGTGTTCAAGGAGCAGCTTGTGGTGTTGTGTTAAGACAGGTTGTGTTCAAGGAGCAGCTTGTGGTGTTGTGTTAAGACAGGTTGTGTTCAAGGAGTAGCTTGTGGTGATGTGTTAAGACAGGTTGTGCCCAAGGAGCTGCTTGTGGTGTTGTGTTAAGACAGGCTGTGTTCAAGGAGCAGCTTGTGGTGTTGTGTTAAGACAGGTTGTGTTCAAGGAGCTGCTTGTAGTGTTGTGTTAAGA